GCCGGTCTAAGTCAGAGACAGCTAGAAAGAAAGAGATAGAATAACTGACACGTGGCGGTGGAGAAAACAGAAAGAAAACGAAATGAAGCCAAGCATGTAGATAGTTTTTTTTTTTTTTTTTCTTTTCAAAAAGAGTTAAACTAAAAAAAAAAAAAAAAAAGGAAAAAGAATAAGGGAAAAGCGTCCCAATGATTAGGTCAGCTATATGGCCTGCGTAGTGACAAGTCACTATTCCCCTACCCTATTCTTCTTGTCGTCTTGACCATTATGTAACAAAATTATTGACGAAGGAGTGTTGCATTTGTCGTGATAGTCATTAATTTTCTAGGGGAAAAATATTTAATGCAGATAAACTTATCTGTATTTATTTTAAAAATGACATCATTTGAGTATTAAAATCTTAAAAAGTTATAAATATAAAGATTATTATAATCCTGAAATAAATTAAAATTATAAAAATGCTATGCTTTCCGCCTAAAATAACATCGTATTGGACTTACGGTAGATAATTTATCTGCAGTAACTGTAAAAAAAAACGAAAACACTCTTCTTAATATATTATTTATGGGGAAAAAGTTTCTGATATTACTTTAGATAATTTTGTCTAATATTCATCGAAACGACGTCGTTTTGAGGTTGAAAAATTGAAAAATTAGAATGATAAAGACTATTATAACCCTGAAATAAATTAAAATTACAAAAACATCATGATTTCCATCTCAAAACGACGTCGTTTCGATGAACATTAGATAAAGTTATCTAAAGTAACTTTAGAAAAAAACAACCCCATTATTTATTGCTACATCAAGTTTTATTCAAGCTTTTTGGTCTTTACGAAATTTATTCAGTTACAGAAAATATGTTATTTGTATTTATTTTGTTTTTTTTTTAAAGACTTAATAACACTTTTAGTTTCTTTATATTAATTAATTTGTTTTTATTTATTTTTTAACAATTAAATTTCTGAATTTTCAATTAAAAAAAAAAACTATGTTCCTATTTCCTTCGTTTGTTTGTTGCGCAATTATTAACTTAAGTTAATGGTGTTTCATTCGCATACGTGCCATGACAATCGAGTAAAATATTTTGCTTACCAAAAAAAAAAAAAAAATATATATATATATATATATATATATATTTTTTTTTTAATTGCTTTATTGGTGGTAACTTTCATCTATTTAAACGCGTCGTTTTATCAATTCTTGTATAATAAAATACAACTCACATTACTGAGAGTGAGATCACAAATTAGGTTCAGAACAGAATCAATCAATATTTAATACATTACGTTACCTTTCTTAAGCAACATGTATATATTGTCATATCTGTTCATTTAAAATTATGAATAAAAAAAAATTTAAAATAAGAATAGTGGAAAAATTTTAAAGATAACATTTGGTACGCGAATAGGAAAAATAGAAATGAATAAAAAAAAATTGTTCTATTTTCCTTAATTTTATCTTTTTTAATGAAAATAAGATGGACTACCTAAGGATATTCGCGGTTTGGATTGGATCGATTTTAGAAGCAAAAATCATCCGATCCAATCCCTTCGGTTTAATCATGTAATTATCCAATCGATTTGAATTTGAATTTTTTTTAAAATACGATCTGAACCGATCCAATTTTTTTTCTGTCGATTGGATCGGTTTCGGTTTTTTAAAAATCCTAAAAAAAAAATTTGGTGAAAAAAATCTTAAATTTTGTTTCATGATTATTGTGCAAATAACATCTTTTGTATATATTGACTTTTTTATTTTATTTTTTAAATACAAAAGTATTAGTAAACGATACTATAATTTTTTTTTGGGCAATGAGATATGAAGCTCTACACAAATAAAATTTTGTTGATGAGATGTGACTAAGTTTTTTCTTAAGTTTAGTTGATGGGTTAATGAGTTTTGGGCTTAGAAATTTTTGGACGATGATTGAGGAAAAATCCAAGTAAGTAGACAGGAATTAATATATTCGATGTTGGTATCAGCAGGGGGATTGATTGCCACCCAAAGGAGTGACATTGTGATTGCTATGAGGCCTGACCATATAAAAACAATGGTAGTCCCTCTTCTTCCCATCAAACCTTTTGCAAAAGGATATAGATGTGTCAAGACCCAAAAATTGAAGAAAACACCACCTAGTAAACGGCTCCACTGTGGTATTACACTGTATATAGTCCTGCTAACCCCAACTGTTATTGCTATCAAGTTAACCATCATAATTGTGATTGGTGGTATCATAAGTGATGTCCATTTCACAATAGAGAGATCAGTAAACTCATCATCAACATCATCACCACCATATTTTGAAGTCAAGGTGAATGATATTTCAATCCCTGCTATCTCTTTGAGCAATCCTTGAAGCACAGCAGCTAGATGGGCACTTGTCCCTCCAATCAACCAAAACTGTTCATTTCTCCACCATTCTTCAAGCTCAATACCAGACCACTTAATTTCAAGAACAGCAAGCATGCACAATGTCACAGTGATGGTCAAGAGATAAGCAAGGAATGTGACATTGAGAGTTTGAACAATGAACTGGCCAGAGAAGAGTGAAAGTGCAGGAATGAAACAGTACACAATAAGGAATATTGAAGTGAATGGATATATTCCAACATTAAGGTATGCCACTCTTTGAAGAAATTTCATCCTTGTGCTAGCTAGAATTACATTGTTTCTTGAGAAGAATATTTCAACTGAGCCAGTAGCCCATCTAAGCACCTGATGAAGCCTATCAGTGAGATTGATTGGTGCAGTTCCACGGAATGCATCCCGCTTGGTCACACAATACACTGATCTCCATCCCCTATTGTGCATCCTATAACCAGTGACCACATCCTCAGTAACTGAACCATAGATCCATCCAACACGTCCTCCCCACTCAGTCTTATCCTCATACCAACATGAGATCACACTGATGGCCTCAGCCACAGTTGATGCATTAAGAATCTCTCTAGGTATGGTGAGAGCACTAGGTGGACGTCCATTTTTCACAGAAGTGTGATCAGCAAGTGGCCTTCCTTGGAACTCTGCCACTGGGATTGAGTCAATGAGGAAAGTTGAGTTTCCAAACTTTTTAGGGAACATTGATAGGTCCATTTCTTCTTCATCATCATCAGAGTCACCCATCCTCAATGCCCGGTTCTCTTCATGGCTGATAGTATTCTTCATGCCACGCCCAAAGAAGCAACTACAGCAACCATTGTGGTGTTCTTTAGAGCGGGGAGGGTCAAAACCATAAAGGGCTACCCTTCTGAAAAGACAACCAGTTCCTACATAAACTGGCCCTTGAAGTCCATCAAGGGCTCTCATGTTGACATCAAAGAAGACAGTGTTATGATTAGCATATATATCTGAGGGATCAATACCCTCAAACCTCTGTGGGAACTGGACAAAGCAAATGCGGTCACCACCACGATCCATCATAAAGCACATACCTTCCCTCATTGCCTTGGAGTTGTAGATATAGTGATCACAGTCAAGGTTGAGTATAAAAGGACCATTGGACATGATAGCAGAGGCTCGAACCAAGGCATTCATGGCACCTGCTTTTTTGTTGTGATCATAGCCTGGACGTTTCTCTCTAGAAACATAAACAAGAAGGGGAAGACGGATATCAACATCAGTCATGTCAATGAGCTTTGTATCATCATAAGCACTTCCAAGAAGAGGTTTATCATTTGGAGGTTTCAACATCACCTGCGTCATTCATTCAACAAGTATGAATTATTCATTCTCATCTCTTCAAGAATATAAATTTGACAATTGGATATTAACTCCACTAGGACCTACTCTACAATTCAAAGTTATCTACAATAAACAATTAGTACCTGAATTATACGGGCATGGACACCCTTAGAGTGCCCATGTGAAGGGTTTAACCAAGTCCCTGGCCAATGAGTTCCATCAGCCATCCAAGTTGCTTTTTGAATCTTTACAGGTTCTTTTACATGTTCATCATCTTCCCTGTTTTGTCTCTCAAGTTTCATGGCCTTGATTTCCTCTCTTGCATGAAAGACATCTGAACGACGACAGATAGAGTCAGGAAGACTATTGATCCTCACCTTGAACTCATCATACTCACGCTTCAACCTTCTACGATCCTTGACAAAATCAGGTTTCACTTTGTTTTTAAAAGGATATCTCTTTAAGTTGAAACATGAATCAGGATTCCTAGGCTCTATATCATGTTTGCAGTGACAAGAGGGGGTTCTTTCTCAGGATCAGCAGTGGAGACAAAGACATCAACCCCTGGAAGATCAGACTTTCCAGTAGGATTGTTAGGAGTTGGTGTCTCAAATTTTTCCTTCAGAACATTAAGATCTGTGGAACGGTTTATTGGGCATAGCTTGGGCAATTGATCCAGAAGCCAAGAAAAAGCAAACCATATCTCACAAACCACAGACATGCCCCATAGCCAGATTGCATCAGTGTTCTTGTGCTTGACCCTCCATACCAGGAACAATACCAGGACAACCATACGAATTAAAATGATAAGACTGTAAAATCATATGCAAGAGAAAGAAAGGCAATTGTCAGATGACATAGATAATAGGTGTAACACATTAGTTTTCAAGTTCATGACTAGATTACATTATACAGTAATTGTAGCCAATATTATAAAATTCATCTCCATATCAGAAATCTATGTAGGGTCGATACTGACACGGGACACGTGATATGATACGACACGACACTCCGACAGGTTAATTTTAAAAAATGTCAGATTTTGACACGTTAGGACAAGTTTTGATATTAAATAATATTTTTAATTTATGCAGTGTATATTATATTTAATATTCAATATTTTAACAAAAATAAATAATATTTTTAATTTATGTAGTGTATATTAAATATATTCAATATTTTAACAAAAAAATGATACTAAACTTATAATATTCATCAATTTTGCAAAGTAACATAAGATATCCCAAATATTTATATTAAACTCAATAACATCGTAATCGTAATCTAATGAATCTAATAATTAGAACTCAAAATGCAATGCAGCGTAACCTTTGAAATTTTTTTGAGTCTTAGCAACGACTATTGGAGTGTCGGGAAGTGTCGGAGTGTCGGTGAGTGTCGGAAAGTGTCGGACACGATACGTCAGGATTTTTGAAGTGTCGGTGCTTCATAGCCCTAACTGCAGCAACTATTGATGGAGAGGGTTGGCTTCATACGGGAGATATTGGTTACGTAGATGATGATGATGATGATGAGATTTTCATTGTTGACAGGCTCAAGGAACTCATCAAATTTAAAGGCTTCCAGGTATATATGAATTCTTAAGCAATGTTTTTTTCATGTTACATGAGATAACATTGTCTTATGTAGAGATATAATCAGATGGGTTCACAACTAAAAAAAAGAAAAAAGAAAAAAATGCTGACTCGGATTTCGATGAATGTGTAACCTAAGATAAACTTTATCACGTGACATGAGAAAAATATTTTCCAATAATAACATACCATTGTTTTATATTATTCTATCATCAAGTGCCGCCGGCAGAACTTGAAGGCCTTCTTGTGAGCCACCCTTCTATTGTGGATGCAGCTGTTATCCCGTAAGTATCATCGAAAAAACTATATAGATAGCACCATATATATGTTTTAATTTTATCATATACTTATAATTATTGACTAATAAATAGTGTTATCAAATATGGAACCAAATGTTAACAGACAAATGGATGATGCTGCTGGTGAAGTTCCAGTTGCTTTCGTGGTTAGCTTTGATCTTACTGAAGAAGCTATAAAGGAGTTTATAGCTAAACAGGTATATATATACATGCACTACCATCATATTTAATTTCGCTAAAGGTATTCATTTTTAAGTTTCCATATAATTTTGTTAAAATCAAAATATTAAAAGATTTAACTCCACTCTTATTGAGAACAAATACATGCAAATATGGATTGACTTCTATTGAGGAATTAAGCGGTATATAAATGAATGGGAAAATATTTATCCTTTTAAATATTATAAATTTGTGTCATTTTAGATGAAACGACGTTGTTTTGGTGTATAATTGGTAATTTTTAACATTCTCTCCTCCATGAAGAATATAACTTTGTGTTGTTTTAGATAAAATGACATTATTTTGGTGCATAATTGGTAGTTTTTGATATTCTCTCTCCTCCATGAAAATGTCAAAATTAACAATAATGCACCAAAACGGCTTCGTTTCATCCAAAATAATATAAAGTTATATTCTTTAAAAAACAAATATTTTTCCTTAAATACATTTGAAATACATTAATTTAAGAGTAGTGAAATTAAGCACGAGTACTTTTATTTTATTTATTTATTTTTACAAGTACTTTAAGTATATATCTGATTTTAAATTTGATTCACTGTCAAAGTTTTTTGTATTATCATTATCATTAAAAAAATTGTTCTGGAAATAATTACTTAAAAAGTTGAAAAAAATTTAATAATATAGTAAAATATGATTAAATAATAATCAATTTTTTTACAATGACAATCATATATGTTAGAAAACAGAAAAAAAGCCACATACAATCAATGCGATTTACAATTTCAAGTTTTATGATATATTCGTTTTGCATTTTCAGACTGCTCAACTGCATTATGTCAGATATCAAGCTATAATAAAAAATTATAATATGATGCTGCATATTAAAAAAAAAAAATAGAAAAAGAGAGAGGAAATTCCCATGTTAATATGGCACACGTTAAGTACACCATATCTAAGCCAATAAATTTCATGGAAATAAGTTCAAGTAATTGAGAGAATTAATGGCTTGTGGTATTTGTTGTGAACAGGAAGTGTATTACAAAAGACTACACAGAGTGTACTTTGTTCATGCCATTCCCAAGTCTCCATCCGGAAAAATATTAAGAAAAGACCTCAAAGCAAAGCTGGCAAGCATCACCCAGATGGCCTAGTGTGTTCCTCAAAAAAAATTGTTCGTTATATGATGGATCGGTTTTATTTATTGAAAAACAAAGAATAATATAGTATAACAAAATTATACTTCATTTAACCGGGTCCTTTTTAGTCTCTGTTAAACATGATGGTATGAATGGAATATGTTGTTTGAATTACTATATCTCTTATGTCATTACTATTTTTCATTGCTGTCATTGTTGTGAAATGAATGGAAGGTTATGTCAGTTTGGTTACTATTTGTCTTCACTGTCATGACTGTATTCATTACAAAGTGTTCCTACATAATGCTTGTTTGTTTATGTCAATCTCTTCTTACAATTCTTGTTTCTGTCAATACTGTGAAACAATACTATTTTTTGTTTCTGTCATTGCAATCTCTTTGGCAGATTGCTTGTACTGCTTTTATTTTGTATGCTGTGTCATTTTGGGGTTATGTGTAAACATACCTGAACTTAGCACATTGGTCCCTCTTATATACCTTACAAGTCCTCAACAATATTTAGCGAGGACCTTTTTAGTCCCTGTTATTTTCCACACTTGGCCACATTGGTCCCTAACAAATTCATCGGGGTCCTTTTTAGTCCCTGTTAAACATGATAGTGAGACTAATGCCACAGAAAGCTGTTACCAAACCCACTGCTCATTCCCCCATCCTTGTTGTTAGTGTTCATACAGTCTTTTGAATTTTTAATTGACATTTCCAGATAACTTAATACTACATTTTGTGCTTTTAGAACAATTAAGTTCAAGGACATTAACCAAATTATATACATTGCATGAACAACATCTCATTACATCCCAACACTGGTCTTTCCATTACAGATAAGCATACATATTACAGATTAAAAATGAACATTTCACTCCACCCTACTACAAAGATATAGACATATTACAAAGACAACGATAATGGATCCAGCAAACACCCATGCACACCTATACACATGCATCATTTCCTTCTCAACCCTTTCAAAGTTTTCCTGCATCTTGATTGATATGTCTTCAATCTTTATACAGTGCTCATTAATCTTCTTTTTGTGGTCATTCACCTCCAGCTGCAGTTCATCATTGAGCTTCATGTCCAAAAAGTTCAACTTGAACTCCATTTCAGCTACATTCAACTCCAGCTTGTTAATTGTCCAATCTTCCAGCTCTATGGTATCAGATGTAGCATCATCCACCCATGTAAAAAAGTTAAAGTGTGACTTCTTTTCCTAAACCAAATTCAACTATACAGTTAATAAGATTGACATACCAAAAATAACGCATGAAAAAATCAACCTCACCTTGAAGTTAGGGAACCCAAAAAATGATCTATTAGGGTTTCTAAGTGTCTTGGAGGTGTAAACAACACTGTGCCTCCCACATTTACACAATGGAGCAGCTCTCCTTCTTCCACTTCTGGACCCAAATGAACTACTTGAGCTCCCCCTTCCAGAAGACATATTCATGGCATAAAAACTAAGAACAACCCTAAATCGTACAGTAAACACCCACCTTCACTAAACCGTCAATCAATTTTCCCCAAATTCATGCGTTCAATCTTCGATTCAATGCCATGCTTTCTGGTTTAGGATTGAACCCTAACAAACAAACGACGACGTTCCTTGGATGAAAGAGAACTGGTATGTCCAACGTGGATGGGTATATCAAAACGACGTCGTTCCTCAACCTACGTGGCTTTCAGCATGTCACTTAACGTGACACATCATCACTGTCATTCACACCGTGAGTTTTGGATTGACAGAAGGACTAACGTGGGTCCTGTTTCACATTGTTGGGGACTATCTAACGAGTTTATTTTTGTGAGGGATTAATTTGGCCACCGCATTTTTTATCAGGGACCAACTTGGGTCTTTACTCTTAATTTGATTATAAAAATGTGTTTGTGGATCGGCCCTCCGGGCCGAGTCCAGTTTGTCACCTCTAACTATCAGCATGTAAAAGGTTTTTATATTTATCCACAAAAAAAGATTTTTATAGTTGCGTCTAGGTTTTTATATTTTATCTCAGAGATGAAGTTTCATTTACTACAATCAGATTTATAAAATAATAAATAATTATTTTTTTGCAAGGATTTGTGTCGTTAGTCTTTGGAATTTCATAAATTTATATTTACAAAATTTGAAATCAGATTTAGTAATCTAAATATAAAAGAAGAAGGATAAAATTTCAGTTGAATTATAAAAATATATTAGCGGGCCGGCCCTCCTGGCCGAGCCCAGTTTTCCACCTCTAACTGTCAGCATTTTATATAAATAAATTTTTTTTGCAAGGATTACTGTCGTTAGTCTTTGGAATTTCACAAATTTGTATTTACAAAAATTTAAATCAGATTTAGTAATTTAATTATAAAAGAAGAAAGATAAAATTTCAATTGAATTATAAAAATATATTGGCGGGTCGGCCCTCCGGGCCGAGCCCAGTTTTTCACCTCTAACTGTCAGCATTTTATATAAATAATTATTTTTTGCAAGTATTTGTCTTAATTACACTCTTGCAATAAAAAAATGAAAGTTTAATTTTTTTCTTATGTAATAAATTAAAATTTTCATTTTATAGTTCTTAAATTTTAATAATTTTTTTTACAGAATGACAAACGTCATTTTTTATTTAAATTTAAAATTTAAACTTTTTATATTAATTATACATATTTTTTATATAATTTTTTTCTATTTTAATTTACGATTTTTATATATTTTTTTAATTGGTTATACATGTATATTTAAAAATTTGATGTTAAATAATTTTTTAAAAAATACATGTATATTATTTTTTTTTTAATTTTTTTGGTAAACAACATGTATATTATTTTAATTTGTTATACATGTATATTTAAAAATTTTATGTTAAAATTTTAATTTATTTTTTGTAAAGTATAAATTATGCAATTTCTTATTTTTTTCATTTAAATTTGAAATTTTAAATGATTTTTATCGACTATAAATGTATTTTTATAATTTTAAATATTTTATTGTTTAATATATAATTTTATATTAAATTAAAATTTATTATATATATCTTTTTTCACTACATAAATATTAAATGCTGAACTCTTTTATCATATATAAAGTTCAAATAATTTTTCATTTAATTTATTTCTAAATTTCGAATTTATTTACAATATAAATAATTTTGTTATTTTATAATTTTTTTAATGTTTTTATTTTTTTTATGCAGCATTAATAGGGCTAACAATTATCAACAAACGAAAAGTAGAGGTCTTTTTACTCATAATATACAACAAAAGAAAAGTAGTGGGACATTAAATGAGTTGTCTGCCACAAAATTTTTCTAAAAGTTTTCCCATCATTACAAAGTTAAAAATTCAAATCCAAAATTCAAATTTAAACATAAATTCAAAATTTAGAAGGGTTGAGTTATTATTAATTTGGAAATTCCAATGCAGTATGCAGTGAGACATTGAATGAGTTGTCTGCCACAAAAAATTGTTCACATAATTTTTCATTTAATTTACATCACGGTGATCAGCACCAAACCACCACCAAAGTTAGTTTCCAATTACATGGTAATATGGTATGGCAACTTTCAACCATATTTTGGGCCTCATTACATATGGTTGAACATCTAGTTGTAGTTTGGGGTAAATTTGCAGTAGGAAGACTTTTGATGTAGGATACCACTAGATAGTCATGTAGTTAGATATCTATGCTCGGAAAAAATCTAATATAGTACGAAAGTAGGTACATCCGACGAATAGGAACGCGTCATGTCAGCTGCAATTGTCCTGGAGAGAGAAAAAAAGAGTAAATTTTATACTTTACACTATCTACTATCGGTAGTACATAGTGTAAAGTATACATTTTCTTGCTACAGTTATATTGAAGATGCACTCTTATGCTTGATTGGGACAAATGTGACAGGTGGGCACTTCGACATTCAAATGGGTTGTGCTGAGGGAGCCCGTTTAACGCGCTCCGAGAGCTCATGCTCCCATTCTAAAAGTAGGAAAAAAATGGATTAAGATGGAATTTAGAAAAAAAAAAGAGGGCATAAATGGAAAAAAACTTCTTTTTTTAGTAAAGGACCATGTAATAGTATTGTGGTCCCGGATCATTTGCAGGATGTCGAATGGCTTGATGGCATATTCTGCTTATGCCAAGTGGCTTCTATAGCCTATATCATTTGCAGGATGCGTGTTCGTGGCCTATACTTTTTAGGTCTAACAAAGGAGGCTTAGGGGGTTTGTATATGTAACAGCCCGTTACGTACCGGTATTGTTATCATTGCATATGGTATTAAGCACAGTTACAATCACAGTAATTGAGTTAATTAAATTACGGGTAAACTTTTTTTTTCTTTTATTACATCATTACTTTAAAACGTTAAACATTTCCGTAATCAATTAAAAACAACTCCGTAATTGTAAATGCAAGACACGCGGAAGCATAAAACTTATTTATCATAACCCCTCTAAGCAGTACCATCACTTTAAGTTGTAAAATGACACTTTTTCAAAATTTTGCACAGTGGGAATCAATTCCCAACCTCAAGGAATCGATTCCCAGCAGCTACAGTAACACAGAGAAGCTTAATTTTTGCTCCCCTGTTTTAAGGAATCGATTCCCAATCTCAAGGAATCGATTCCCAGCCTTCACAGTGGCTGAAATTCACGTGCTCTGTTTCAGGGAATCGATTCTTAACAGCAGGGAATCGATTCCCTACTGTGAAAAATCAGTTTTGACAGCTCTTTCACTTCACAAGGGATCCATGATTTCATTCCTGTCACTTTAATACTTAATATAACCCATGTACCATTACTAATGTAGGCTCTAGGCCCTTCCATCATGCATATTCATTATGTAATACATCAATTACAATATTTCCCATTTGTTTTGCCAATTACACATCATATGACTCATTTTACATCACAAGTCACTAAATGCCTTTAAACATAGTGTGTGGCCATGGACAAGTCTCACGCTCACCAAAATACCAATATAAACCAAAGGCATGAAATATGAATCAAATACAAAAG